GTGTGCCTTGGCAGCTGCACGAGGCACTACAGGAGCCGCTGGTACAGGAGGAGCTGTTACAGGAGGAGCTGCTGCAGGAGGAGCTGCTGCAGGAGGAGCTGCTGCAGGAGGAGCTGTTACAGGAGGAGTAACTGTAGGAGGAGTAACTGCTGGAGGAGTAACTGCTGGAGGAGTAACTGCTGGAGGAGTAACTGCTGGAGGAGTAACTGCTGGATTACGTGCAGGAGGAGTAACTGCTGGATTACGTGCAGGAGGAGTAACTGCTGGATTACGTGCAGGAGGAGTAACTGCAGGAGTAAGTGCAGGGGGCGGGACCTGTGTGACAGGCTGCTCTGGTGCCACTGCTGCCTCCGCTTTTAAAGAGGACACCTTTGGTTGGATGGGGCTTTCAATCTGTTCCTCAACTGAAGAGAGAGATACAGCAGAGAGGGAGAGAGAGAGTTTTGATCAGATATGCACTTCATATAATAAAAAAGGACAATTATCTCATGTTATTTTCTGAATAGGCAACACAATCAAGTTTGTCTTTGTTTTTTTTAAAGCTCAGTTAATTTATGGGAACGTAGTCCAGTTATTTGTGAAAAATAAAAATGTATTACACAGGTTATATTTGATTAAGTATAGAAACCAAGTTCTTATCTCGCATAATTTAGGAAAAATAGTTAATTACACAGTCTGTAGATATTATGCAAAATATTGAAATAATGTAGGTCTCTATAAAAGAAACCTCAATCAGCTGACTATGTACTAAATAAATGTCTCCATTATTTTGTTCAAAATGTCAGTAAATAGTTCATATCCAGTTCCAGCTCAGTATGAGTGGATCATTGAAAGCACAATCACACGGTTAATATCACACAAGAACCAGTATAACAATAACATCTCTGCAAAAGACTTATATAATGTCCGGCAGTGGCTCAGTCAGTAGGGGCTTGGACTGGGAGCTGTAGGGTCGCCGGTTCAAGTCCCCGACCAGACCTAACATATGGAGTGTGGACTGCTACTTGGAGAGGTCCCAGTTCACTTCCTGCCCTGCCGTGGTGCCCTTGAGCAAGGCACACCCCCCCTTCCCCCCTCACTCCAATTGCTGTGCAATAGCTGCCCACTGCTCCTAGTACTAGACTCCTGGTACATGTGTGACCATTAAAGAGGGTTTCATCCCTCCCAATTCTAATAATGTAAAAATCTATAAACTTTAAGTGCATGTATATACTGGTGAAAATAACATCCAACCTATCAGAGTTTAGTTTGGTATAAACATAGCACATACAGCCTGGACATTTACCTAGACATAAATAAAAGTGGTAAAAAATGCAGATTATCTGAAGTCTGAGACATCTGTAAAAATGTGTCTAATTGTAATTAGATGGCTCTAAGGGTGGAAAAAGTGTCGTAGCCAAATTGGCTGGAAGAAGACATTCTTGGATGGTCTCCGCTGACATATGAAAGTTGTGACAGGAGTTTTGTGGGATCTCTGCATGATTCAGTGACTTCACTTGTCTATTTCTTTAACACATTTCCTGCATATCGCTGCCAGAGGCATTCATAGATGTTACATTTAAAAAGCCCTCACCGAGCAGTCAGTCATTAAGTCCCTCATCAGCAGCCCACTCCTTACCTATAATGCCGCCGCTGTCCATTTCTTCGTCAGAGAGCTCCATGTCCTCCACCTCACGGTTGTCACTCTGCCCGACGGTCTCCATTTGTTTTGGGGATCCTCCCGGGGAGGACAGCGGGCTCGGGGCCGGCGCGTCGGCTTCATCCTCCATCGCACAGCCGTCAAGATCTGGATCGGGGTGGGCCATCTCCAGGTCGTGAAAAGGGGACTCTGAGCCCGTTGGAGAGGGAGCGTCTGCGGAAGGCGAGGGGATGGGAGACTCGTCCATGTCTGGGAGGTTGGCCTTCAGGGAATCCAGTTTACGCTTCAGGTGGGACACCCGGTTGGCGAACGTCTGGTAGGCCTTGAGAGGAGAAGTAATAGAGTTTCAATGAATGAAAAGTCAAACTAAAATGGACTAACAAATAATACTAAGATAATTTGAATTAAATACATTTTTCTAAATTGCAAGCATGTAAACTTAGTTGTAGGTGGGAAGCAAGGGTCGTGATATCTGACACCAAACTCACTGTCACTCACATTAGCAACAATCTTGACCTCCTTGTACTGCATCTCGTAGAAGATATCTGCGTTGCTGAGGGACTGCATGAGAGGAGGCCCTACTTTGATTTGTTGGTCAAAGAACTTGACAAAGTCTTGCAGTTGCGCACTTCCTTCCTCAAAGTCCTTGGAGAATTTCTTTCCTCCTGCCTTATCTGTAAAAAGCAAGAATGTAAGGGGGATTTTTAAGGGAACGCAAACCAAGGGCCATCTGTGTGTTGTAGGAGGACAGACGGTACAAGAGTAAAAGATGAGTAGAGCTGGCACCTTTGAGTCTCTTGAGGGCATCAGAACTGCAGATGTCGACTCTCATCGCTGCCAGCTGTTTCTCTCTCAGGTCCAACTCCTCCAGAGACTTCTTGTACTTGGACAGATCGTCAAACAGAGCCTGGGGCTAAAGCAGAGAGAGCAGGTAGCCACAATGTCAGACCATCAGATCCAAGCATTACTGTTGAATAACAATGTTCCAGTTTAGGTTGGTTTAAAACTTTAATGTCTTGCTCACCACAAACTCAGCAACAATTTTGGACTGTAGATCTGCTTTAGACTCGACTGGATCTTTAAAAAAAAAAAAGAAGAAAAATGAGATATTACATTAAATTCGGTATTTGGATAACAGAATATAATATAAATGTTAAAAATGCATGTTCTTGCATTCATTACAAAATGAAAAGCTGTACCCCCCGGTATACAGAGGTGCAACAGGAAAGGATACATTTGTATTCATAATAAAAAATGGTAAAAATAAAAACAGTTAGGTGTGAAAAACATTATTTAGCATTATTTTAACATAATGTGACCAAAGTGGATGGAAATCATGTGGATACATATCAAATGTGAGTCAAGGTCTAACTAGAATTTAAAATTAAATCAAACTATGCAAGATTGGTACTGTGGTCAGGTTCTTTTTAAATTATACAAATTAAAAAGCTGAATTCGGCATTTACTTTTTTGCTCCACAGGGGTCTCGGGAGGGGACTCCTCTTTGACTAAGTTGCTCCTGAGCTCAGTGATGAGGGTCCCTGCATACACCCCCCTCTCCTCCCAGATGGAAATGATCCTCTCCACAGCTTTTAACACCTTTGGGTCACCTTCAGTGCTAGAGAAACAAGGACAGAATAACTATAAGGGAGCGCAGAGATTTATGTTGTGTTGTTTTAATGGCATTTGTGTTTTATATGTGAGGCTTTTCTTTGAACGAATGAAACAACAAACGAGGACAAAGCTGAAAAACAAAGTGAGAAACAAAAGTAGAAGACACGATGAGGTAGAAAAGAAGGAGTTGAAGCTAAGAACATAAAAAAAAAATTATTATTGCATCTAATAATCTGTGCATTACATCAGGACTGTCTGGCAAACAGAATAAAATAAAAAGATATAATAATTGATGAACCCCATCTCTAAAAACGACTTACTTGACCAGCAAGAAGGCTTCAGGGAGCATCTCAGCGAACGCCGTACGGTAAACGATGGCATTTTTCCTTTTACAGTTCTGAATGACATCGTTAGCCACGTAAAAAAGGTTGAGCCTCTGTGAGGTGTCGGCTGTTGAGAGGAGAGACACGTAATGTTATTAGTTAGTTAGTAGGAGCAAAAAACATCTTCTTTTAGAGAATTTCTAAATTTGTGAAGATTTTGGGGGATTTCAGGATTGCGTTAGTTCTGTCTGTTTGCACATAGGATTCAATGTGATTTATCATTTTAAACCAGTGCAATCATAACACCCAAGTTCTGTTCGGACACCAAATTGTTTTATTTAAACTTTACTGACTCACTAAACATTTTCCCAGAACACCTTTTCTTTCATTGCCTGAAAATTAAGAATCACACACAATTGTCAATCGCATAAACCATTTAAAATGACACAGAGTATTCTGTGTCAACTTAGATTACTTAGAAAAGGTATTCAAATGAATAATGACAAGCCATATAAATGCTGAATAACTCCACTTTAATACCATGCAATTTGTGCAACAGATACATTAGAAAACTGACAAGATCTATGCAAAAACTATCTCGTTTGAAATAAATACATTTTGATCAGGGCCCTTCTAAACATTAACTGTGACCAGGGGGGGGGTCATATCTTTGAAATCACAGCCCATGCGTTTACGCTAAAAGGCTATTTGCCACCAACAAAGTTTCCATTGACTTGCTTAAATACATCTTGAGAGGATACAGAGAAAAATACAATGTCCTCCTCAAAGCACAAACTCAGCAGTTACAGCTTTTTAACTACAAAATATAATGTATAAAAGCTGTTGTAAACCATCAAATATATAAAGTTACTCATCTACCCACAGTGTCACTTATTTGATTAAAAACACCATCAATAAGTATTGCAAGTAAAAATGACAGTTACACATGCTACACCAACATGTTGTAGTTTAAATGTGTGATGTATTCAGTAAACCAAAAGCAAAGACTTATTCTGAAGACTGTTCTCCGTTAAACAACATTTGAACTTTCTGACACACATTTCAAAACACGCCAAAAAACAGCAAGCTGAGAGAAGGACAGACAAAAATAACAGAAGGCCAAATCTCTATAGACGAGTTTGTAGGAGTAAATCTACAGCCAAACAGCCAACTCGGGCATAGAAGTAGTCAAAACAGAAATAGATTATCTGAAGCCACTGTGGGTATGAAAATTATAGAATGGTTTGGAACATTGGAACAGTGAAACAAAACAAAATGCAGTCAACGTGCAAAACGAAATGCCCTTTATAAATCACAGTAAATGAAAGTGCTCCTTTTATTTTTTTAAAACAGCACCTGTTTTTATGATAGAAACCAGAGAAATCCCCATTGTTTAAAAATAGGAAGCGGTAAAGGTATACAGTTGTCTGACAGTGTATTTTGACTACTTCTGCAAGAGGCAAAATACATTAGTAAATACAAAAATACTACTGGATACATTTTTTTTTCAAACAAACAGTCCTCCTCATTACTTACAAAGCCCTCAACAACCAGCCCCCCCCCTACCTCACAGACCTGCTGCACCACCACACCCCTTCCCGCTGCCTCCGCTCATCAGAAGCCAACCTCCTATCCATCCCCACCCGCACCAATCACCGGACCAGGGGGGACAGAGCCTTCTCCGTCGCTGCCCCCTCCCTCTGGAACTCACTCCCACAACCCATCAGAGACTGCACTGACCTCACCACCTTCAAAAAACTCACCTCTTCAATCTGGCTTTTAATGTGTGATTGTTTTTGTATTATTTGAACTTTAACTATATATTTATTTGTTGTTCCTTTCTTCTATCTTCACTATTATCTGTAAAGCGTGTTTGAGCACCTGTAAAAGCGCTAACAAATTAAATCTATTATTATTATTATTGTTATAGAACAATAACCTAAGCCCAGTCACAATGCTTCTTGGCAATAAAACGTAAACCG